TCCTGAATGGAAAGAGGGAAACCGAATAGCACACTGCATAGAGTATCAGAAGCAGGTAACAAAATGATGAACAGCAAATGGAAATGATTGCCTAGGACAGAATTGAATAGAGATTGTCTATGCTTCTTCATAAAAGGTAACATGTGTTAATAAGTCAGTATCTTGGTTACATTTTAACCCTTCTTTTAAATTAATTGTAATCATAATCTTAGTAATTGATCTCACACCTCCACTTTTCCTTTCTAATTCTCGGAAAATTCTGTTACATTAACTTCATAGTCTAGAATGATTAACTTCAACAATTATAAAAAGAAACTTACCTTTGAAATCTTTAATTATTGACTTCTCCCATACTATAAACAATTCATTTATTATTGATTGGGAACTCATTCTTTTTTTAACATAATGTTATTAATTATAAATAATTAAACACATTAGCTTGTATGTAATTGTAAGAAAAACTAAAGAAATACAACAGGTTTATGGTATTCTATAAATATTGTCATTTTTGCTTTATTTAAATCTGTGAAAGGGTATAACATTGCATAGATTTGATAGTTGCTGATTCAATTGTAGTGAGTAGAACACAGGTGGGGACAACTGGATGTATATAACAACAAATTACAGAACTAATTAGTAAAATCCAACAACCATATATTAAATCGTTAATTTGCAAATTGTTCATCAATTGTCTCAAATGACTTAGAATTCCTTTTGTTCTTGTATTTTCATATAAATTGTATTCTTTCATTGTTTATTGTTCGATCTTTTCGTCTCTCTGCTGCCAAACATTCTGTTCAGTACTCAGGTCATATACTACTTATGTCTATATAAGTAGCACACACCACACAATCAACTTTCATTCAAAGCTTTTCAAACTTCTTAAAAGCAATTCACGTCATATATCATGATTAATTGAACTGTAAAGGATCTAATTTAAAACAGGACCGTAATGTATACTGTTGAATGGACAGGTTCTTGTATTCAAACAACGTCAAAGAATCGAAGTAACACAAATCACTGGTGCTCAACCATAAGACTCAGTTCTACACTGGATTTGATCTCAATCAATCTTAACCTGAAGTTATCCGGTAGAACAATAAATTGTAAAGATATTAAACAGTACAAAAAGATGATTAATACATTGGAGTGGATGTTGAATGACCTTAATCTATTCATTGTTGACTTCATCGATATTGTCACTGTCGAATTTAGTGACATAAGTACCACATATGTCAGTGGCACTTGATATCTTTCTACATCATTTATAGGATCACAAAATTTTCAAGATGATTCCATACTACCTTCATAATCTTTTATTATTAAATTTACTTAGAAGTGAACTAAATGGATTGATGAGAACATACTATGTTGTATCATAAACATATCTTGAGCCTTGTTGAATAGCAATAATCAAAAGCACACTTACTCCACAGATATGATGATGATGAAATTATTAGAAATTTACTTAGGTCAAATTCATTATTGATAGACAACATTCAACCAATTTGTGTGTTGATCATGCGCCAATATACCACTTAATTTAAAGGGTCTTCAAACTCATTGTCTTAACATTACTTTAAAGATAATAAAGGGAAAAGTAAACTAGGACTACAAATACCAGCACATCAATTGGAGTTAGTAAATCAAATGCGCATTATATATAAAATACATCCATAAGAGTATAATTAATTTATAGAAATACTGAATATGCGGAAGTCTTAAATCACAGAAAGTGATTACCTACAAATATTTTGTTTTTTGATGTTACTTTTATTTGGAGTACATTTTATCTCTGAAAATTAACGTAAACTGGAATAGGAGAAAACTGTCAATGGAGTAGTTCCTTGATATATCTGTCTCCTTCATCAGTATGATATGGAACGATGTATTTGACCACGTCATCTGTTTTTAATGTATGTAACAATCAAGTTTGATACTACAAAACTATGATAACTGACACATTAAAAAGATCAGTGAGGCCTAAATAAATCACTTTTCGTTACTCAATTAAAAACGGTATCTAATGTAAGTAGAATATGTTGTATCTTTATGTCCGGCGTTTTATCACGTGATTTATCCGCCAATCGAAATGCAACTTATACAGTCTTAGCACGGTGCCAAACCGATGACATTCGACCGGTATGAGCAGCTTAGCATTCTTATTGGTCCAGTTGAGTCCAGAACACCAATACCGTATTCTACTACGCGATGCGAATCGAATCGAATGATTTATTTCAGATATACTGGGTTTATATATCAACTAAACAGACCGCAACGCACCATAAAATAGGAAATAACATTTGCACACAATAAAGCCAAAAAGTGGCTGTGAACATGGGAGGCAGTAGTCAGTAAACTGAACATAGCTTAAGAACAGTAAATCCTACAATAATAATATATAGGTCAAAATAAAGCTTATAACAAGACAAATATAGATACGGGTAATCTAGTTACTGAATATTTATACCATAAGAATATATAAATAATATTAGTCCATCAATAGGTCTCAGACGTTACTCGCAATGTAATCTTCACTAGGATATAACAGAACCGTTTTCGTTTCAGATATAAATCTTTAAACTTCAAATATGGTCCTGGGTTCGAATCTAGCGTGGCGGCATCGTGGATGCGCACTGCTGAGGAGTGCTACAATGGGACGAAACGGCTGTCCAGTTTTTCCACGTTTTCCATGGTGGTCTAGCTTTAATTGACTTACGATTTCAACTATTAAAATTACTTCAAATATTATCAAGTTATTGTCTATCGAACTAGTTAGCATGTAATACTAAAACTAGGTAATGAGATCGCTCAGTTGTTATCGTGATAAATAGAATATATTGAAAAGAGAAACAAATCGTTTGTTATACATTCGAACGGACAATGGTTGAATGATAACTGCTTTCATTTGACCTGTTGGCTAATGTTATACGATTTACGATTCTTAACCTATTCCCAATCGCTCCACATCAATTTCATTGACTACGAATAAGCATTTGACAGCGTGGAAGCTTCTTCGACACGATGGCGTGCCTCAGAAGATAGTCAAAATCATACGGAATTCCTATGATGGATTAAACTACAAAATCGTGCATGGAGGACAATTGACAGACTCGTTCGAAGTAAAGACCGGTGTCAGGCAAGGTTTCTTTCTCTCACCCCTTCTCTTTCTCCTGGTGATCTATTGGTTCATGAAGACGTCAACATCTGAAGGGAAGCACGGGATACAGTGGACATCTAGGGTGCAGTTGGACGATCTAGACTTCGCAGATGATCTGGCTCTTCTATCGCATACGCAAAAACAAATGCAGGAAAAGACAACCAGTGTAGCTGCAGCCTCAGCAGCAATAGGTCTCAATATACACAAAGGGAAAAGCAAGATTCTTCGATACAACACAGCATGCACCAATCCAATCACAATTGACGTAGAAGCTTTGGAAGATGTAAAAACCTTTACATATTTGGGCAGTATCATCGATGAACACGGTGGATCTGATGCAGATGTGAAGGCGTGGATAGGAAAAGCAAGAGCAACATATCTACAACTGAACAACATCTGGAACTCAAAACAACTGCCAACTAACCAACACAAAGGTCAGAATTTTCAATACAAATGTCATGACAGTTCTACTGTATGGGGCAGAAACTTGGAGAATTAAGAAAGCCATCATCCAGAAGATACAAGTGTTTATTAACAGTTGTCTACGCAAAATACTTCGGACCTGTTGGTCAGACACTATCAACAACAACCTACTGTTGTGTGAGAGAACAAACCAGATGCCAACAGAGGAAGAAATCAGAAAGAAGCACTGGAAGTGGACGGAGCACACATTGGGGAAAGCACCCAACTGCATCACAAGGCAAACCCTCACTTGCAATCCTGAATGGCAAAGGAGAATTGAAAGACCAAAGAACACATTACGCTGAGAAATGGAGAGAGATATGAGAAGAATGAACAACCATTGGATAGAATCAGAAAGGAAGGCCTAGGACAGAGTGGATTGGAGAATGCTGGTCGGTGGCCTACGGTACATTAGGAGTAACAGCCGTAAGACCGACTGATCATCCCACATTCACAACTACTTCTTGGATTGTATAATCATTATTTTTCATTTTATGATGTAATGTGGTTAGATATGGTTATGTATAAATCATGTATGTTTGGAGTATACGATCCACACAGTCGAGGTCGATGTTTGTGATCTGAACTGAACGGACTGTTTCATTTTTTATGGTTTGATGTGGTCTGTTCTTCTGGTGTATAAAACAACTATGTATGAAGTAAATGATTCACATAGTAGAAGCTGTTATTGACATTCTGGACTCAGCTGGACGGGCTAGGCGAACAAGGGACGCTTGGTGTAGGACTCGATATTGCGTGCACTATGTTGAGATTAGATGATGGTTGCAGGTAGTCAACAGGAAACTTTGGACCTAGGTTCCGTGTTACTTGGTACTCATCTGCAAGGTGTACCTGTAATCTTGAGAGAACTGATGCTCCCTGGCGCATGCGATCACGTGTCACCCAGCTTCACAATCAGAGACGTTATCACTAGGCTATGCGGGCCGTGATTGACCTCCTGTAAGACTGACATGTAATCACAATTGATTGATCACTGAGTGGGGATCAATGTCATGTGAGTCAAGTCCTCCTTAAAACAGATTAGTTGATTAATTCATCAGCAATGTGCATGAGATTGAAAGCCCTAGGTTTGAATTCCACATACAAGATCATGGATGAGCACTACTGTGGAGTCTTATACTAGAACGAAACGATCGTCTAGTGTTCTCAAGTTTTCTATGGTAGTTTAGCTTTAATCGACTCATGAATAGTCGATGTACTAAAACAAACTATGTATCAATTCATTACATATATTAGATTACTTAATTAAAATTTAGTAGTATCACATTATATAACAAAATAGAAAGTCATAACTAAACGATGTTTTACATGATAATAATGAAATAGAATCAACATGATTAAGAAGAATTTGAAATAATTATTTTTCTCGAAATCTTATAATATTCTGATTTTGTAAATAAGTAATATACTCCGAATATTGTTGATTAGGTAATACAGTTAAATTGCCTATAATAGGTAATGGACCGATTACGATTTCATTAAAATATAAAGAATAAAATAGATAAGCAAAAATAGTTAAGCATATAATAGAAACTAGACCAATTCGTAATCCTAATTTTGCTGAAGGATCTTGATGAAGACTAGATATTTTATTAAGTCTATCTTGAGTGATTTGTTGTTGTTTGCCAGTTATTTTAGAAAATATTGGACAAGGAGTATTTTCTAGACCACATAACCATAAACAAATAGATTTGAATAGATTTCTTGAATTTGATTTATTAATATTAACCTCTAGAATAGATATTAATTGCAAAACATCAATGAAATGTAAATAGCATAGTTATGTATCAATATGAATATATACATAATGAATAATGGGAATATCATGTGTTGTCAAACACGTTCCATGCAGAATTGTATTAGTACACGAGGTAATAGTTATTTAGAGAAAAGATACTTGTTATACTGTTAAGAGATTACTGAAAGAACAGTAACTGAACAAGATAATGAAGTAATTAGTCTACAGTGACCAAGATATTAGGTGAATATCTGTAACAATATGTCGCACCATTACAAACTAGTGTTTAATGTTACCATAAGTGAGAGATAGATGGAAGCAACTTCAAAGTCAAAAATGAAACAAGTTGATGACCATAACTTTTGGTTTGGAGGCAAGAAAATTTACAAACTACTAGCTAGGTGGCTGGAAGCGATCAATAGGAGACCCCAAACCTCCTGTAATGCTGACATACTAATATTAATTGCACATCGATTAGCAATCAATGTTATGTTTATTTAATTCTTAATGTTGATTGTGTTCTGTTAAGCAAGTTTCAATGTGGACACTAGTATAAGTGATTCAATATTGTGTGCAATATGTTTCGGTATTAGGTGTTTGGAAGCAATCAGGAAGAAAATCTGGATCCAGTTTCCGTGCTAGTTGCTACCAGTTGGTTAGGTGTACCTTCAATCTTGAGAGAGCTGACGTTTCTATGAGATTCTAACTCGTTTTCAACCCATAAATACCACAGTGATAATGCCTTGGGAGGACGATGAAGTGTGATGAGAATAACCAGTTCCCATGGATAACCAGCATTTCCAGAGACGCGTAAAATGATATGGAATCATAATGAAAAACATTCTGACTAACTCATTCACATCACATACACCTTAATAAAAGCTAGGAAAAAATAATGAGCTCTTTTTATAAAAGGCTGTAAAGAATGCTGAGGGCACTCAAAGTCAGCTTCCAAACGCACCCGAACAATATCCTGCCTAGTTATCGAGATAAAAATGTAAAATCAAATTTTTTTCCAATCTAATGTTGTACAATGACTATCTGCATAGCCTTAGATCTTTGTGTGCTTTTTCTAATCTGTGGGTAAACATGAACTTTTTTTAAATAAGACATGTGCTAGTTCACGGGGTAATTCAGGTAACTAGAGAGGGAACTATGAATAATCTGTGCTTAGTTTTTAACTGGTGAGTTGTGGAGTTAACACTTGATCAAAGACTAAAGATAGTGTAGTCAGATAGCTTCGGCAACTGACAAAATAGATACTGTACAGCTTACATAGGGTTTCTAAAAATACATATATTTCTGAAGTGATTATGGCAACTTAAAACATGGATAATTATAGTCTAATAGTGGTTGGAATAAGAAAATGAAATAACTTCAGAGCGGTTTCATACTTTTAATCAATGGAGTCAATGGTCATGACATGAACAAGGGACTTTAGGTTGTGTTAGAGGGATATAGATTGGATTAAAGCATGTTCCGTGCAATATTACATGGCGGCACGCTGATTGTCTATTTCTTATCTAACCAATGCTAGTGAATAATTGGAGAAGACTCTAGAGTCTTCTCATGTAAAAACTGTAAAGCAAAGTTTTAAAACATCATCACAACATTAAAACAATCTTAAAAGTTATTTTATCATTTCTTAAACTCTTATCACACTTTACTACAGATACCATAGTTAGTCCTAGTTTCATAATAGAATTACATAATCATATCTACTCATCGTACGATAATTTATATAATCAGGTTAAATAAAATTTTATACCATACTCATCATTTCTAAAACAAAGAAATAATGAAAACACAAAGTTTACATTAGTCTCAAATATTATTATTATTATTATTATTTTCTTTAGTTATGCATAAGTGATATTTTCAATGGATGATAAAGAGGTCATCTTCATTTGATCATTATCATAGAATAGGCATACATATTTAATAATCATAGAACACTGTGAAATATAAATTACTATTTGAAAGTTCATACATACATAAGTAGTCTGATAGAGAAATACTTTAGTAGATTGTAAATGTAAAAAAAAACCAAAACCAAAACAAAACAAAACAAAACAACTATGGAATGCTATAATTCAGTAAACATAAATACATATAATTGAGTTTCTATATAGATGTATCCCTTATTATGTTATTGGCATATTTATCGAATCTACCTACTATTTAATCAATATTTTGAAACAATCAGAGTAAAAGATTTAAATAATCCCTACCTCGATTTTGAATGAAGTTTGAAAATTTAAGGCTAATCTAAAGCGGCGGAAAGTAGAAATCTATAATAGATTAACCCCAGTGATCTCTAAGTGTGGTTTTCCAGTTTAAGTAATTAGTATTAGGAGGGATTTTATAGAGATTGTAATAATTTCAGTAGTTCAGAACATGATTCAATTGAAGGTAGACCACCATAGAAAACCTGGAAGCACTGGATGGCCATTTCGTCCTATTGTTGAACTTCTCAGCAGTGTGCATCCACTATCCCATCTCGCGAGATTCTATGGTGGTCTAGCTTCAATTGACTCATGATCTCGACTATTAGAAGAATTACTATAATATTCACAAAACCCCTTCTGATACTAATCAACATATGCTCACTAGTGACTGGCTTCAAGGTGTATATCCTTGAGTTCTAGTGAGAAGCAGTAACTAGTGGAGTTCAATCGAGTCTGTTGTGAGATAGTAACTCACTGACAACAATGGTGGATGTGTCGCTCAATGTCGTGGATTAGTTAAAGTTAGACATTAACACCATTGGATGCCGGCCATCTCAGTGGTCTAGAGGTTAAGCGTTTGAGTGCGAGACCGATACGTCCTGGGTTACAATTCCACGAGGTGGGATCGTGGGTGCGTACTGCTGAGGAGTCACACAGTAAGACGAAATGGCCATCCAGTTCTTACAAGTTTTCCATGCTGGTCTAGCTTCAATTGACTCATGATCTCAACTGTTTAAATAATCAGATTGATTGAGACACTAACTAGAGTTTGGGAGCTGGACATAATCACATCTGACCGGTCACCACCTCTGATTGTCTCAGTCTGCAGGAAAGAACAAATATCCTCTTTTCATAACCCCAGGAGAACCAGTTTGACTGATACACTGTCTAAAATTTTAGCTTCAATAGTCGTCTGACGCTTGGCTAGTGTGGATAAACAGCACCTCATGGTACGATTCAGCTCTATCGATCAACACGTTTTTAAGGCATTAACTGTCGCTGAAAGCCCTATCAAAGACGTATATCAACCTCTTAAAGGCTTTTTATTCCAACATTAGTGATCAAGTCAAATTTTATGGAGAAATCTCACTAGAATTATCAACTTCTACTCGATTCCATCAGTTATCTGCTTTCTCCATTTTTACTTAACTTTGTAATAGACATTCTTTTAAAAATAACTCCATCATGATGTGATTTTTCAGGAATTGATTTACATCCACTTGATTCACCTATTGACTTTGAATGCACAAATAAAATATTCCTCTTTGGCAAAGTCACTGACAAAATGCAGTCTTTCAATCATCTTGAACAAGAGTGCTAGCATATTCGATGGATTGGTGTCTGACTAAACGTCGTCATGGGTTCAGAAACTGCAACTGGCTTTTGGCAACTTACGTCGCTTGTGGAGTGGGTGAGATGCACATCTATTAACCATCGGACAAGTATACTGCTTATCAGCTCGATCTGCTCTGCTTCATTGCTATGAAACGTGGCATACTGTCGAATCGCTTAGCATCCATATCCACAAATTAAACTTTGATGTCGAAAATAAATTTGTATAGCACCTATTCCTACCTTGACCACTGATAATGAGCTATATTGCAGTGGGCAAAAACCAATATTCTCATTTCCATTTCCTTATAAGTCTCTTGTAATTTTTGCATTATTACTTTGTTAGTAATATTTTTTCAACTCTGGTGTAATATAACGACATGTTACCTAGAATCCCTGCCAATAATGTTATTAGAGATTCTGTAATCTCTAAACACTTAAAACACACACTTCAATCCACCTATAAGTAATTAACTTCTTACTATAATCACTAATATTATCTTTTTTACCTGCTTGATCACCCGTTTGACATTAATTTCACTGCTACTTGTGAAGTTCTAATTTTATTTATTTATCTATTTAAACACATGAACATTGGTACAAAGAACCATCAAATAGATATGCGCCACATAAATCATTCCATTTATGTGAGAGTTAGGATACTGCTCGGGTGCCCAGACAGAAGCAGGTAGTTTACTTAGGGGGCCACACCCCGAGCCTTTGGCTTGAAGGTCTGATCCACAAGGAAGTGGAGCAACGTCAGAAGATGCAGTCCCATGGTAACCCGTGACCAACGATTGGTTCATACGCCATTTTTCCTTCAGGATGCTGGAGCCCATGTGCAACACTTGTTTGGAGTCACGGTTCCCCAACTACCCTAAGGGGACTTTCCATGTCCATCTACCCAGTTAAAGCGCAGGATATTCACCTTCGTTCTCTCAATTTTGTAGACAACAGTAATGATGCCAGAAGGCAGTGAGTAGGACTTCCTTGGCAGTGATTGTATGTACGTGGCCAGATGAGAGCATTTCGAGAGGGAGAGCTGACTCTCTCCACTCTCGGCCGTACCAGGGCGTTTGTAGGCTAATAGCCTTATACAACACTACCAGCTGATTGGTATTACATTGTCATCCTATAACATATATACGTTAGTGGATAATAATGATAAAAACCTAATGCGATTTTGTCCTTCTGGTTTCCCAGTTGTTGATTTCTAAAACAGCAAAGATATACAGTGTAATATTTGGTTATGTATCAGTAGATGAAAAATAAGTTGAAACCATCACCAACAACAGACTACTCTAGTTAAAATAAAAATACATCTATTTAGACTCACCCGATTCTGATAGATAATCAGATTTAGACTCATTTTCCTGTACAGTTATGACACTATCGTCAGTGTGTAACTCAGAGTTAATGGAAAGGGATGAATGATTAATTTGATTATCGAAGTCTTCCTTTTTTGAATCCCAAGCTGTCCAATAAGTTAACCGATGTAATTGACTTAGTGTTGGTGATGCACTAAAGAATGAAACTATTACAACTAAAATGACTGTAGATCCAAATGAAAACATAGCAAAATACATATAGTGAATGTTTCTCATGATCCATGGTCGTGTATCGTCTTCACCACAGATTGGATCAGTGTAAACAAACGTTAGAATCATTCGAATACAGCCGATAATTAATCCATAAATTAGACCGAAAAAAGCGCCCTTTAAAAAGTAAATATGAACAGAGAAGTCTTTCAATTGTAAAACATGGAAGAAACATGAAAGCATTCAACAAGACACTCATCTTTATCAGTCAAATGAGATCACTGATTAGATCGGATGGTTTACTTACTTACTTACTTACGCCTGTTGCTCTCAACGGGGCATAGGCCAGTGGTCAGCGTTAGACTTTGAACCAAGTTTATTTGTAAAATTTAGATAATTAGTTTCTAACCTAACAACAAGGAGACACGGCTGCTGGAATCCTAAATAAACGGATTTCAAAATCGTTGAATAAAACATTCTACGCAGCTAAGCTCTGAATTGTTTTCTCTAGTCGACTTACCATTTTGGGATGTATTAAGGACAAACTCATGTGGGGCGTATTACATAGGCCGCACAAGGCGACCACTGTCCAAACGCATCTCGCAACACTATCTGGCCTGGCTCTTAAAAGGAGAACGTAAAACAATTACTAGTTCGATACAGGAGCACTTAATTAACTGTGGACACATCGCTTCAAAGGACTCTTCTTCTAAAGTAATCTACAAAGTCAAAGGAACTGGATCGAAGGGGGGTCGAATTAATATTTTATGCACTGCTGAGGCATTGGCAATCCACGAACTCAAGCCCGAACTTTGCGTGCAGAAACGATTTGTCCAAACTCTCATCCTTCCTTGGCCCTAATCCCCTTAATGAGATATTTTTTAATTACTGTTTCGACTCTTAAACTCTAGTCAGTTAGTTAATTAGTTAGTTAGTTAGTTAGTTATTATTATTATTATTACTTTATACAAGTTTTCTTAATTATTATTCAGCCTATTATTATGACCTTTGTTGTTTGTCGGTTTTCTTCATATCTGTCAATTGGACTATTATCTGACGCATAAATTATTTTCTTTCTTAGCCCTTGATTAGTACATAACCTCATTTGTTATTTACTCTCGAATCCATTTCTGTGATGCAAAATTTTTTCTATCCTTCTATAAACTTATGTATCATCCATATAACTATATATACGAATGTACAGCTTAAGTAAATGATTTCGTCGATAACATAATCATCAGAAGGGGTTTTGTGGAGATTTTGAGTAATTTCAATGGTTGAAATCATCAGTCATTTGAAGCTAGACTACCATGGAAAACCTGGAAGCACTGGACGGCCGTTTCGTCCTAGTATGGGCGGATGCCGGCTCAGTGGTCTAATGGGTAAGCGCTCGCGCGCGAGACGTATACGTCCTGGGTTCTAATCCCGCGGGGGACGGAATCGCGGATGAGCGCTGCTGAGGAGTCCCACACTAGGAAGAAACGATCGTCCGGTGCTTCTAGGTTTTCCATGGTGGTGTACCTTCAATTGACTCATGAGATAAAATAATTGTCAGACTAAACTCTCTTTTGAAAAACGAATCGACTAAGTGACTAAACTGGAAAATAATCATTACTGTTTGAATAGAGAAGTGATAAAACAGTAATATGATTATGAATCAGTTGAAATAATCAATATCTATTACATATGGTTCAATCAAAGCACATCGAATCCATTAGTTTTAGTTAATCGTAATAATAATTTGGCATGAAACTTGAAAACATTAAGTAGCCAATATACAACTCAGTATTGTTGTACAGTTTACCTTACTGCTCAATAAGCTAAACCTATTTTGCTGTCAATTGACTGACTAAAACCTTAGGGTTGGAAAAGTTGTGTCCGCTTCTCTAATCATTATGCATATCTATACATGAAAGGTCTGTATTCAAGGAGTCATGAATGGTGGTTGACGTTTATCTGACAGAGATTAAAAAAACTAACCAGTAAACCGCCTAAAACACCTTTATGACTAAAAGTATAGAGTATACATGAATTAGTATTCAGTATAGAAGAATTAGAGATAGACAAGAATGAATCAAATGAATGCTTGAGCTTGTTTACATTAATCTGTTGACTAGATAGAGGATAATCATGATCATTTAGATGTTCTAACTTGTATCAGTTAATACCCGCTGTCAGCAATACTTCATCACAATCAGTACACAATATGTAGGATAAACGTAAAGTTTTCTAGAACAGGGATATATCATAATGAAAGTAAAATATGAATTGTTGTACAGCTTGGACAAATAGACACAGCCTATTGACTATTAAATATATGATTTCTCTTCATCTCATTGATTTCTACTCCAAACTCTTTGAGATTGGCTGCTTGTATTTGTGTTGAATAAAGTATTATCTAGTCTATACTCTAGTTCTCTATTCTGGATCGGGAATACTGGTTCCGACATAACGTGACTAGTCTCATTATTTTATTAACGTATTATCGTAGTATTCCTGTTAGAGAGAAAAAATGTTTTAAACCATCTATTATATCGAATCGTTTATGCTAAAATTACCGCACAACACGTTTCATATGGTTGCGTTCCTAGTTAAATGAATCAAACAGCAATAATGAACTGTAAAATATACAACTTGCCTTTTCACTACACCGTTTCCATAATATAGCGCATAAAAATACTGATGCTATAGGAGGTGAAATGTAGGCAGCAATCGCTTGAATATAAATATACAGTTCACTTCCTTGAGACTGTTGCATTATTGGAATCCATGCCACACTTAACCCGACTAATACTGCGATAAACACACTTAAAGTAAATAAATAAGTACATACAATGGATCCGTAAAAGTTAAATATACAATAAACCGTAAATAAGCTATTAAATGAAATTGCATTTAATGTGATAGAAAATCGATGGAATAGTGTACAATCGATTGTGCGATATTTTAGATTAAGTATTCGATGATTAGACCTGAATATCAATGTTCAAAACCCTCTTAAAGGGAACATGCTCACTCAAAATCTCATAAAGCCATAGACGAGATTTTTCAACTTTTTGCAAACGTCATTATCACTTTTTCTCGTCTGTAAAGACGAACAAAACATTAAGATTACCAAGGCTTTAGCATTTAATAATTCCTGCAACCAGACAATGATGAATACGTTGACGAGCTCTGTATCTATATCAATATTTATATAGAATGTCAGTCAGTTACTATCTCACAACAGACCCGGTTGAACTCCACTAGTTACTGCTGAGGAGTCCAACAATAGGAAGAAACAGCCGTCCAGTGCTTCCAGGTTTTCCATGGTGGTCTAGCTTCAAATGACTCATGAACCCAACAATTAAATTACTATAATATCCACAAAACCCCTTCTGATATTTATTGAATACTTTGTGTCAGTTGCCAGAATATTTAGTTTTCTTTTCGCTGAACAAGTTACATCATAAAAACACTTTATAAAATCAAGACTATCGTTTTAATTACTCACCGACCAACAATCATCAATTCAATATTTTGAGCATTTCGTCGCAATTTTTGATATATATCCACTGTAAATAATGTACTTGCGGAATTAAAAATTGATGTTAGATCAGAAATTAAAGCTGCCAGCATTACACTCAACATTAGACCTCGGAGACCTAGTTATTATTGTTGCGGGAAGTGAAATATTTAAAAAAACATTTCAGGCAAAGTTCAAAGAAAGGAATACTCAAGATAAACACTAAAATTTATCAAAATATTTCTACAAAGGGACCAACCCCTGAAAGTAAATTAGCCTGTTAAGTGTTTATAGTCTACTAGCGTAACTTAATTCGCTCTTTTTAATGTGTTTAGATGACAACTTCTCTATATTTAAAGAAAGAATATTTTTGGAAGTGCAAAATTGAAGATTTTGCGTGTACACAATCAAGAATAAGATTTAAACTTGGTACATCAACAATCAGATTGTAAAATTTCATTTAACAAATTAGACGACTCTTATCAGTAACACGGAATATATTAATTTTGTTTAGGTGCAGTTTTAATTAATTTGTTTAATCTGATTGGCGTTTTTTTCAGCAAGATTTTTTCTACGGGATGGGGTTGTCGATCTTATATCCAACCCTCCTCCTTTACCTGGGCTTGGGACCGGCAGTAACTCTACAAGTTTTACTGAGAAGATTGTCAACATTATTCGGAACTCATACTCACGTACCTGTGAGGCATCATCAATGAACAAGTAAAAATCGGATGCACACGTAAAGGCGAAGCAAGGGCTGCATTCGTGCAATTGAAGAACATATACAACTCAAAATAACTGTCAACTAATATCGAAGTCAGAATCTTCAATACGAACGTCAAGATAGTCCTACTGTACGGAGCTGAAACGTCCAGAACTAATTACAACCATCATCGAAAAGGTTTCGCTCGCGCGCGAAACCAGTAGGTCCTGGGTTCGAATCTCGCAGGGGGCGAGGTCGTGGATGCGCACTGCTGAAGAGTCCCACAATAGGACGAAACGGCCGTCCAGTGCTTCCAGGTTTTCCATGGTGGTCTAGCTTCAACTGACTCATGATCTTAATGATTGAATTCACTACAATCTCCACAAAACCCCTTCTGATAAGAATCAACATATGCTCACTAGTGACTGGCTTCAAGACGTATATCCTGGAGTTCTAGTGAGAAGTAGTGACCAGTGGAGTTCAACCAGGTCTGTTGTGGGATAGAAACTCACTGAAGACAATGGTGGATGTGTCGCTCAATTTCATGGATTAGTTGAAGTTAGACATGAACACCGTTGGATGCCGGCTCAGCGGTCTAGTGGTTAGGTGCTCGCGCGCGAAACCAGTAGGTCCTGGGTTCGAATCTCGCAGGGGGCGAGGTCGTGGATGCGCAACGCTGAGGAGTCCATCATCCGGATATCATGAGCAACAGCCTTTTGTGGAAGAGAACAAACCTGCTTCCAGCTAAAGAGAAAATTAGGAAAAGACGATGGAAATTGACTGGATATACATTACGGAAATCACCAAACTGCATCACTGGGGAAGCCCTAACCTGGAATCCTGAAGTGAAGCGGAAAAGAGGAAGGCCAGAGAACACATTACGTCGGGAAATAAAAGCAGATATGAAAAGGATGAATAACAACTGAAAAGAGGTGGAAAGGATTGCTCGGGAAAGGGTTGGATGGAGAGTGCTAGTGGGAGGCCTATGCTACTTCACGATGAGTAACAGGCGTCAGTAATTAAATAGGTGTAGTTCTTGACACGAATATGTTTGTTGACATGATATAGAAATTTTCGCTAGTAATCTGGGTTGATAACTCCATAACACATTAACTATTCATAGAAATCATTATTTGTAAAATTTATATTTGAAATAATCTCAACGTTTGTATTTTAAACAATTCTATCGTTGCCTACAGCTAGTTAACCCGGAACCTTCCTATGAACATTTTTAACTTTCTATATCTAATATTTTCTACTACTTTTGAATCTAGTTTGATCAATTCATTTCACTCAACTAACGTGTTGTGGTAACTTGGACCGATTTACATAAGTCCCAAGTTCCATCTTGAATCTATCTAAAACTAACGTATTACTGAAGTAACAGGCAAGAAGTTACATTCGTAAACATAATTCAGTTGAACATTTAGAAACTCTAAAACATGCAAAACGATTTCAGTTAAAGAGAAAAACAATACCTAAATGTGATTTTTACATTTCCTCTATATTAAATAAAAAAATAGATAAACGTTAATGACCTCTAGCATCAGAAAAAGATTACAAAAGTAATGCTGTAATTCAGTGTACTCATTTCACTATAGTTTGGATTCATCGATTAAATATAGTTACTGTCCAATGCTTTTTGTTTACACCTCGACCCTGACTCAGTATCCATCACTTCAAATTTCAAACAATTCAGAACTTGACTATCAATCAATATCAATTAAAATTAATATCACAGGTAATATCAGTGCATCCCTCGAACAACCCTGTGAGTGTGTTAACAGAATTCATGGAATTCGGTTCATAATAGTATTAAATCTTCACTTTTCTGAGTCCTAAAATCGTTCTTCAACCAAACCTCACATAAAGGTGTGAAATCATGATAATAAGGTAGTACACGATTGTGAAGGTAACGTACCAGAAGGCATTAGATCAATCACAAGTTTGGGGTATGCAATATTTGAACAACCATTACTATTTCCACAAATTTTAAGGCAATCAGACCCAGGGAAGCAGCCAATCTCATCTAGAAAAAATAAATTTAAATGACATTAATTTTAAGGAAAGAAGTGATTTCTAGTTTCATAATAACTTACTACATCTTAATAAAAGTCGTTGTATAAGGTGCTAGTTGCTAACGGATTGAAACATGAATTTGTAGTTTAGAAAACAGGCTATCAAACTTTCAATTTTAACGAATTTGTTCCAGTTTGCACTGTTGGACAATTTCCATAGCTAATTCATAATCTAGGTGTTTCAAAGCTCAATACACAAACTAGAGTTGTGTGAAATCTTGTGAACTTTCTAGTGTTATCGTTCACGATTTACAAAACGAAAACAAGAAACATACTATTTGTGAAGATGAAAACTTTTAAAGAACAGATTAAAGATAATACAAGCTAGACATTCAAGTCAAATGTTGAAAAGCCTGAAACACTAAGGTGTTACTAGCCTCCTTTTGTTTAAACATCAGCTCCCTCTGGATCGCAGTTATACCTTGCTGATGAGTGTTCGACAGCGTAAAAACTAGGTTCAAGGTTTTTTGTCGACTACCTTTAACCATCTAACATAAGAACATAGAGCATGAGATGCCGAACCACTGAAACTAGTGGCCACATTGCAGTTTAATCGACAGAATTCAGTCATTACTAAAGCACTCGACAAACATGATATTGTTCACTAATTACTTAGTAATCAATCAAGTGTAATTGGTGTAAACTACGAAACCGGAAATCAACTGTTTCAGCATTGAAATAAATAAAATTCAATATTCATCTCCACTAGGTAAAAGATTGAATAAATTAGTTCTTTAAGAAATCCCCAAAGATTCAAATATCTTAGCACCAGTGTTTTCTTCTTGTTTTTAACCACTTACAATGATAAGTGTTTATGAACTCTGTAAGTATTTGACTAATAAAATGTAGTCACTTTTCCCTTGAATCGAAAACTATTTATTTTAACCGACAATATATTCCAAATTAAGACTATTGAAATAAGATATCAGTAGAGTTAATAATTCTAAACATCAAGATGAAAATATTTTATTTATTACAAATCGATTGGAGAATATATAATGTTTTTAGTAACTTTATTCAGTGAAGACATTAGAATATGAGATCATCAAGTAAATGAATTAACGTAAAGTGAACTGATAAAATGGCACCCAAATGCCCTGGTACGACCGAGAGAGAGGAGAGTCAGCTCTCCCTCTCCACATGCTCTCACATAACCACGCGTATACAGCCACTACCAGGGAAGTCCTACTCACTGCCTACTCACTAATGGGGTGTTGTTTACGGAGGCTTTGAATGATGTGGTTCAAAATCGTTTACAATGGCGCAGTGGTGCATCCACTCTTTGTGTTCTAATCTTTTCTTTCCAAATTTATTTCACTAAATTATACTTCTTGAACAACATCTTCAAACCCCAATGTTTCCGATTACTGCCTATACTTTTACTACCTCTACGACTATGGGATTAGAATCGACCATGGTATCTCTATGTTTATGTGGTATGGCAACTTGAACTGATGCACGTAAGTATGAAGTTCGAAGTTTTGACTGACTGACTAATATAAAGGATTTTTATGATATAAAAATAGTTTAAATTTATGAGAGCAATGGAGAATATAAAATTGACGCCCCTTCATAGGTGGTATTTGAAAAAAAACAATAAATTAATAAAATAAAACTCTTCAAACAACTCTTGTGCCCAAGAACAGTGAAAGAGATTGATTACTCTATGCTTCTACATTTATAAATCATGTTGAAGAAACATGAAAGTAATGATTATGGAAATGTTTATGTTGTGCCAACTATCCAGTAAATACTTGATGATCACATTGACTAAGTATTTATTTTACTTTAGTTACATAGTCAAAATGATACCTCCTTATTGTAAATATAATTTTAAGAAAATATCAACAAATTTATGATAGATGAATATATTTTCTTACTTGGATATAATACACGACTTATCATTCCTGGAATAACCATAATAAAAATTGGGATTTGTTTTATTATCCCAGTCATTAATGTTGCACCTTGGGCATGCGACAAACTTTTTGCTGCCAATGTACGTTGAACCATCATCTAAAATGTAAATAGATTATACCATAAAAATATTATATGACGAATGTACAAACAAGGGAACTATTTTAAATATTTTTGATCAACAGTTACTCTTAGTTAACATCCAGACATTAAAGTTACGGAGATTAATTTGATAAGGTACTAAAATTGGTAACTAAAACAATGTCATGAGGAGAAAACGGAATATTTGTAATAAAATTAAAATCAGTGTAGAGTTGTGGAGATTTTTTTTTATTGCGATCATGAACCAATTGACTTCAGACCACTATTAAAAACCTGGAAGCACTGGACGGCCGTTTCGTCCTATTGTGAAACTCCTCAGCAGTGAACATCCCTAATCCTGCTCGTGCGATTCGAACCCAGGACCTTCTATTAACCTCTAGAACACTGAGCCCGCATTCAAAGGTGTTAATTTCTAACTTCAACCAGTTCACGAAATCGCGCGACCATCTTCCATTATACTGAGGTAGATACCTGCCTCTATGTGACACGGATATATTTGGTGCCCACTTGTACCAATATTTATGTGTTTAAATAAATAAATAAATAAAACTTGTCACGGCTTCCCACTAGAACTCCGAGAATTCCATCCAGTGCTTCCAGGTTTTCCATGGTGATCTAGATTCAATTGACTCATGATCTCAACTATTAAAAAATTACTATAATATCCACAAAACCCATTCTGATAATTTTCAAATGTTTTACTTTGAACAGTGAAAGACTGCAACAGAAGCTTAATCAATTACTACATTCATATTAATGCAAACAAAAAACAATCAAACAGGGTGTGACTGGCAAATTGAAATTGAAATGAAGTAATGAAATTGCTAGAGTTTTTGTCGATTGGACAAAAAAAAAACCAAAATGATTTAACATGAATCATCCAAAAGTAACATTTTAACAAATATCGAAAATATATATAATAGTTTCTTGACCGACCTTTTGTAGTAAATTAATTAATTCGTCAATAGTTAAAGAACTTCTTTAATTTTAAAGTGAATTTCATTATAGTAATCAGGATGCATCAAAATCTTAATTTACACAAATTTTCTTGGCTTCTATTAGTCTATTAATATCTGGTTCTTTTTGAAGCTGATGTAGATTATTGAGAAAACCAGTCCCACAGCAACTTGAAAATATCTATACAATATTCTAACAGGTTTTACTTACTATAAACATTCAGTCGCTTTTGGTCAACAACAACAACAACAACAAATCCAAAGTTAACAGAAAATAGGTCATATTAAATTATAAGATGATTAAGGTTGGAGATTCGGTTTACAAAATTCAACGCACACACTTTAAAAGTGTACTAGACTGGTAGCAAAAATCAAATAACTAAAAGAAGCTATCTAAAGCTTCTTGATAATCGATCGTTATTCAACTGACATTCATACGTAACAAAATAATTTTTGGATTATCAGTGATGATGTGCTATTTTACAAAAAAGAGTAAAAGATAACAACATTGTATTACCATAAGTGTAAACTTTTACGTTACTTATTAATTCTTTCAATCTGTGTATAAATCACAGTTAACTATTTATAAACCTGTTGCTTAAATTTTCACTACAAAATATCCTAGTAATATACATTTTTAGATTTATTATTTCACTTGGTACTGTTTACTTGTATCTTTCCGTTGTTATAGGACGAAACGAGCGTCCTGGATTCCATTGCTAGCCACTATCCATCTTTGCTTAAAAGGTTATGATCACTAACTAGAAAACGAGTAAAAAAATTTCCAATCATTACCATAAGCAATAACTCTATTAGTGAAATTGTTGTTAGTGAGTTTAGGCAGAATTTATGAATCCATATCTTAGTTGATATCTTTTTGATGCTAAAACTAAGAATAATATAGATATTACCCAACCTTTCGCCCCTTAACACTACTATGGATTTTTAATCTTAATGTTAGTATGCTTGATTGAACTATACTTCAATGTAATCTAAGACTAAGCTAAAAAAATAATACTGATAATCAGATTAACGTATGAGGTTTATTATTGAGTTTCTATCAAGATATACAACCATTAGTTGTATTCAAATTACTCAGTGATATAAACATTTTTCAGTTACGTTGAGGTTTGTATTTCAGTCAGTCAGTCAGAAACAACGTGGAACTTCGTACGTACGTACATCAGTTCGAGTTGCCATACCACATTAGCACAGAGATTCAGTTATCGATTCAAATCCCGTAGTGGTAGAATAGTGAAAGTATAAGTAGTGACAGGGAACGTCAAGGTTTGATGATGTTATTTAAGGAGTATAGTCCAGTGGAATAAATTGGGAAAGAAAATAAAGGACATGAAAAATTCAGAAGATTAGACTTTGAGAGAACACAAAGAGTGGATGCACCTGCGCCATTGCAAACGATTTTGAGCCATGTCATTCAAGGTCTCTAACCATCGGTTGCTATCGTCTCGCGGTCCCCAACCAGGTAGTCTACACCTACCAACATGACTCAATCCACTTGTCAGTGACTTCATGGATTTGTGCCATGTTTTGGTTTGGCCGCCCCTAGCATTCTTCCAACCTATTCCTACACCATAAAACATCGCACTTCGGGGCAGTCGGTGGTCTGGCATGCGCAACACATGTCCCAGCCATCACAACTGATTAAGTTTCACTACTTCGTCAATCGATTTGCCATCCTTACCTAGTACCCGTTTCCTAACAACTGAGTTACTCATTCGGTGGTCCCAGGATATACGAGCAATGTTTCGAAGACACCTATGATCAAATACTAGTAACCTACGAGTATGTTCTACTCTTACTGGCCATGTTTCACTGCCATAAAGTAGGACGGAACGAACTGCTGCGCAGTAAACTCGTCCTTTGGTTGATAGACGGATATCTCGCCTACGCCACAAATGACGCAAGTTGGAAAAAGCTAGTCGAGCCTTCTGTATCCGTGCTGAGATTTCGTCACACGCCAGACCACAAGGGCTGATGAGACTTCCCAGATAAGTGAAGCGGTCCTCACGCTCAACTACTTCACTCCCCATCACTAGTTCGGGTGCCGATGCAACCCAATCCTGAAGCAACATTTTCCATTTCGATGGAGAAAATCGCATCCTGAAAATACCTGCATTGTTGCTCAGCAGGCTTTGCATTTTGTCAGCGTCTGCACCAAATAGAACTATGTCATCGGCATATTCTAAGTCAAAAAGTGGATCTCCCGGTAGAAGTTCAACCCCTGGAAATTTAGATGAGGGAAGTGTCATCTCTAAAGAAACGTCAACGACAGTTAAACAAGAACGGAGAGAGTAGACAGCCCTGACGAACACCACTTGAGGTAATCAATTCTGATGACAGTTTGCCATAAGCTCTCACTCGACCAGTTGTGTTCGAGTAGAGAGCCTTTATAAGGTTAATGTACTTCTTTGGTACTCCTTTCAGTGACAAACATTGCCATAGAACCTCACGATCAACAGAGTCAAATGCCGCCTTCAGGTCGAGAAATACTACCATTGTGGGACGTCTGAATATGTGTCTATGTTCTAGGACCTGACGTAGTGCGAATATCTGGTCTATACAACCACGTTCAAGTCGGAAATCAGCCTGGTTTTCTCTAGTCTACATTTCACGAGCTTTGGTTAGACGTCGAAGTATTATTGAAGCTAATATTTTAGACACTATATTAGTCAAACTAATTCCTCTGTGATTGTCACAGGAGGACTTTTGTCCTTTCTTATAAACTGGCACGATCAGTGATTGAGACCAGTCAGATGGGATTACGTCCAGTTCCCAGATTCTACCTAAGACCTCAATCAATCTCGCTGCTAATACTGGACTGCCATCCTTAAAAATCTCAGGGGTAAACCTGTCAGGGCCTACTGCTCTCCCACGCTTCAGATTTCCGATAGCTTTTTCAACTTCGTATAGAGTCGGAGGACTTACATTAACTTGCCATTCAGGTAGATTAGAGATCGTGGGAAACCGAAGTGTGGCTGAAGGCCAGTTGAACTGATCCCTAAAGTGTTCTGCCCATCAATCCAATCTCCTGGGTTGAGAATGAATAATATGTTCATCTTTCTCTGAGATTGTTTCGATAACAGTTGGGTTCCTAATAGCGGTTTCCTTAACAAGTCTGAACAGTTGCCTGCTGTTACCTATTGCCGCTGCCTTTCCATCTCTCTTTTTTTCGCTACCCACCATTGTTCACGATCATTGCGTAGGCTTCTGGTCAGTTTACGCTTAAGCTGACTCCGCTCTTCGTTATGTTTAGAGCCAGATGGAATGAGTTTTCGAGCATCTATCAGTGCGGTAGACGCTGCTGAGATCCAGTGTTTCTCCCTAACCTTATGATTTACCGTACTTGCAGACATCACTGCTGTTTCTACAGCTTTTCAGATGTCATTCCACGCTGCCTCGGGGTGGGCATCAGTTACATAACTGCCTAACTGTTTTTCTAGTTGTTCCTGAAATATACTCTTAGCTTGACTATCATTAAGTAAGACCCTAAGGGGTTTCTTTACACCATCTTTCTTATGTCCAGTAAGACGTAGACAAATACGCGCTCGCACTAGAGCATGATCTGAGTCTAAGCACGTGCTCCACAATGGGCGACAGTCTTCTATCGAGCCCCTCCATCGGTGGCTGATAGCGATGTGATCTATTTCGGTCCAGCGTTGGGACGAATTAGGGGGTCTCCATGTTAAAAGATGTTTTACCTTATGCTTAAAGTTAGTGTTTGCAAGAAACAGGCGGTTATCTGAGCATAGCTGCAACAGACGGTCACCGTTATCTGTTCTTTGAGCCGCGACACCATAAGATCCACCCAGGTGTCTTTCCCTTTTGCTTAGTTTACCTACTTGAGCATTAAAGTCACCAGCCACTATTACTACATCTGAACGCCTAGCTTTTCGGAGAAGGTCGGAAAGCTTTCTGTAAAACTCATCTTTTACATTATCTGAGCTGCAGTCAGTGGGAGAGTAGGCAGAGACGACGAAGAGGCAACGACGAGTGTCCCTATCTTTCCGAGTCCTTACCTTTCCGTTTAGTCGGACAGCGCACAAACGACTGTCTACTGGGATCCAGTCTAAGAGAGCTAGTTCCGCCCTAGGACCGTAGCTGCTACCTTGACGTGGTGGTCGGGATTGCCTATCGTGATGACCCAACCGAGCTATATTGGCTGGAACACATGTTCCTGCAGGTTTTACCATGCCAGGCAGGTCGATTGGAGAACGGTAAGACTAAAAGCAGCAACTCTAGGTCTGAGGGCGAAGTCGTACTGCTGACTGTAGAAGGGTGTGACAGCAGTAAGGTGTTTCCCTCGGACAACCAGCATTTGCAGCGATGCTGCCTTCTTACAAGGAAGGAAGGGGTTGGAAAAGGTCGACCCTAAAAATGTCACACCTCACCTTACCTCACGGATTTCCGTCTCCGGAGGTAAGGCCCTTTGAAGAACGGAGCTAACACGTTGAAAACCCCCCACAAAAAGGCCGTGCGCAACCGGCCTCAAGCAGTTGTCCCTTGGGCTCTGCGGTCACGCACCCAGGTCGTTAAGACCAACGCTAATCCGATTTCGTTTTCAGGTTCCTCAAGAAATACCCTTCCACGGTGTGGGCAGCCGGGAAGTGACACCAGCCCTCATACCCGTAACAGCACACGGTTTGTATTTAGGGGATTCTGAATATGTGAATCATTACTCCAATAATACGAAACTTGAAGATGTGTGATACAGCAGTACCCTCATTAAGTCTAATTTTTAAACATTTTGTTCTCCTTGATCAAATCAATAGTAAAGACTCATTCTAACTTCTGATTTTTAAACAAAAGGATATAAATTTTCAGTATATATAAATAACAGTGATAAACTCAACAGCGTTTGAATTGCACAAGCAGGAAACAATAAGGTCAAAGTACAAGTGATCTAATTTAAACCACTGAATTAATTAGAAATAATGGAACTGACTAATAACTAGTTGTAATTGTTTTATGAACCAAACCCTTCTATCTTTATACTTCTTATGATTCATTGTGTTGAATGTATAACTTCTTGTCTGAACTACTGGTTGTCTGAATACAATTATACTACTAGTGTTGTTGCTTCGATTGTCTTAATATGTATATGATTACTGTTGAAGTTCAAAAACAGTTATGGTTAACTCTGTATCCGTTATTACAAATAGTAAAATCACTTTCTTCGTTTATCCTTCAGAAATTATTCCCGTAAATACTCATAATAAATTTTTCGTCTTCAATTATTTATGAAATCGTATCAAGTGCAACTTTAAGAAAACTGTCAGAGTTTCACCCAAGAAAGCTTTTAATAATAATAATAATAATAATAATAATAATAATAATAATAATAGTTATAATATATATATATATATATATATAATAGTAATATTATTGTTATTCAAATACCTGGTCAGCACACCAATACCAAATAGAAGAAGGAGTTTGTCCAAGCAAGAAACCAAGCCATGGCATGTCTGGGTCATCTATCTCTCTTAATAATCTAAACGCTTTTCTAGAGGGGAGACTGCATCTTAAACGAGAATCAACTGTCGGTTCATTAGATAACTGGAGTAGTGATGTTATATTTTTCTCCTTGGCTGTCAATATCATTGTATTTAATAGGTTTTTGCCTTCAATAGATGATATGTTAACTTCGGCAATAGCTCCTCCATATGCACCAAGGAGTCCTTGAAATCCGCCAACTTTGATAAAACCTGTAATGAATTTTAGTTATCACCATGTAAACTTAGAAAAAAATGATTCAAAAAGTGGCCGTAGGTGCCTAAAATATTTATTATTCTAGACTTCGAAATGTCACAGAGAAAAATTTACAGCCAGTTTGCCTGAGTTTACTACGACTAAATCTATAAAGGAGTGAATTACGTTAACGTTATACAGAGTGTATCAGTTCACGTTATCAAAATGGTGGGAAATAACATTCAGAAATTAAAAAATATCAAAAAGCTTTGACTACTAAGTCATCATACTATGAAAGTTGTAATATTTTAAAAACTCAGTTTACTTACTTAATATTGTTAGCACAGTGGCACCAAAGATCATGATGAAAAACTGAAGGGTGTCAGTGTACAAGACAGCAGCAAGTCCACCTAAGACAGGAACACAACACAGGAAAAGGTTTTAAGTTAGTACACGATTGACTAACATAACAAACGTTACACAGTCAATCAGTAGATTTATATAACCGCCATTTGCAAACAAGGAATTCAGTGATTACAAAGAAAAAACCTTTATTCTTATAGTTTTATAATCAATAATACATAAATTATAAAATCTGATGAATAATCTAAAATCCAGACTAATTTCAGGCGAATAACGTTGACAGTAACCTACAACTATCTAAGCTAGTTGGAAGGTATACCAACAAAGTTCAGTCTTGAAGTGATTATGAAGCTATAAATAAGTCAAAAAATAAACAGCAAGTAGTTCATTTACCACTTTCAAGATGAAATTGACTTTTTTGTAAACTACACAGATAGTCAATCCATAGTTAACCATCATCCAATAGTTTATTGAGCTTACACTTTATATAATTCAGGTCTAAAAGTTTTCGACTTAATATCACATCAAACAGAATGCCACTCCATAGCCTCAAATGTTCCAAGCTTCTCAAGAGCCCATTGGTATTTTGATCGAGCATTTTGTTAAACTACACCAACAGAGTTAATATTACAAATAAAGGTAAGCAAGTTTATTTTACCCTCTCCTTGGAATAGAAGGATCCTTTGACATTCACCATTTCAGGAAGAAAGTCAAAGTTTATAAAATATCATTATGTAGTAGATTTTCAAGCACATCAGAAACGGAGAGCCAACAAAATCATAAAACTGATGTGATTTTAGGCTAGAAGGATGGTAAAATATTTTATAACTGAAGGCAATCAGTAGAAGAACCCAAATCAGGTGTTCATATACGACGAGGGTCGTAATATCCAAGTACTTATACAATATTACACTCAAAATATAACCGGAAATGTGCATATTTATACTTTTAGAGATGAAAACCAAAAACATATTTTTCAACACTGTGCAATCCCGGAAACAGCTAACCGTCAGGCAGATAAATAAATAAATATTATAGCAATTTGTGTTCAAAAAAACATATATTGTGTCAAGATACATAACTAATGCAGAAGACGATTATTAAGTTGATCATAAAACTATGTTTTATTAACTAACCTGTTACTGTAATAAGCGCTGTAATACTGAGAAGTATAATAATTGACAGCCATGTATTCCATTCCAAGGCTTCTGATAGAAACAGAGAGCCAGAGTATAAATTCACCTGGGAATAAATAAGTGTAATTTTATTTACGAAAATAATGTAACTAATCATCTTTTTCTTCTTAAACTAGCACATGCCAAAAATGAAACCATAAAAAAATAAAGACGTCTCTGAGTAACTTTTTGTCTCATTTTCTTAAAGTGTGACTAACATTTGGGTTTTATACGAGCTCCTCTAATCAGTATAAATTTATAAAAAGAACCGGTTTGTGAGTTTACTCTCAAGTGTTATTAGTGACTGCATAAAGTAGACGTGTATTTAAGATGGCGAACCTTAAAACCTGGAATCTTTTATAGGTTATAATTTCAAAATAAGATTTACTCACTAATTATATTAACCGTTTACCTAGATTTTAATGGATGAGAATGAAAATGCTTGTTAATGACATACGCATTTAATATTGCTACCGCAATTGTGAGAAGTTAGAAACTATTATGAAACTTGGTTCACTATTTTTACAACATTTAGCCTCAAAAGAGTAGATTTTACCCATGTATTCAACTAGTGTAGCCCTATAAAGACAATGAACCCCATTATCTAATGTATGTTTTTAGCCGACTCATTCAATAATATTTGAGTCTAAAAGATTCGATTTCAGTATAAACTTTAAATGATTTGAGTTTCAAAGTCACAAGAGTACAAGAAATAGTGTAAATATATTTTATTCCTTAGTAAAAAACCAGAAAATTTAGACAATGAAAAATAGCAAAAGTATACGAGTTAAATACTACTTTAACAAAATCAATTTTATTGGCAAAAGTATTATATAATGCAGCATGTGCAAGTCCGAAGTTGCTACTGACAGAATATATCAGTCTACATTTCTTTAATTCACCCAAACCATGGATTAAGCGTTATACAACAGTTCACGAGATACCGATAGTAACACTTATTCAGCCATGCATGCTAGCGGACATAAACTTATGTCGTTGGTGTACTATGTGACTAACTGGAAACATGAGCAAAGAATGCAACTACAACTAAACTGCCTCGTGAATTTGACGTTGGTTCTTTTTCTAGTGATGATTACGTTTATGTATACTAAAAGATACTCAGCTTCTACCCAAAGCCGTAGCAACGCCATATATTTGCTAAACAAGAAGCATGTTGACAAATATAAGGTATGCAATCCAATAAGCTGAGATTAGATCGTCTTTAAAACATGTCTAACAGGTGTCTGTCTAGTCAAGGAATTTGAAGGTTAGCTGAATCAAAACTCAATGACTAAGTACGGCTAATGATTTTCATACCAACCAGTTAGAGGAACTGAAGTTCAACGGAACAAGGAGGTTTATGAAACAATTTAGATTTAAACCATCTGTTCTTAAACCGTGCACGTTAAGGAAACATTGATTGTGAGTGACACATTTGTCCTCACTCAGAAAAAACCAAACAAGTGTTTCTATAAAGCCAACATTTGTTGGGAATTAAACAGGTGCATCACTTTCGACTAAATGAAAAGCGAAAGACTGAAACTCACGGAAATTTTAGTAAAAATGTACAGCAGTAAAGAAATAACAGCCAGATACATTTGGATACGATTTCCACCAAAGCGCTTTTTCATGTATTCGGGAAGAGTACTGACCTGAATAGGAATTAATCTAATCTGTTAAACTTACTCCACTAGCAATATAAACCGGAAGAAAAATCCAACCCAGTAGTTGCAATATGATTGAAGCCTAAAAGCATTATTAAAATTAAAATAGAAAGCGTACATTCAATTCGAATGCCCCAACAGCTATCCCTGATGCTGCTCCAGAACCAGCCAATCCGACAAAATGCTCACTACCAATGTTAGTGGCAAATAAAGAGGCGCCAATCTGAAAACTGTATGAAGCAAAGGTTTTTTACCGGAAGCCACGTAACAAATCGCCCAGCTAGGAAGTAGTCAGTAACAGTTCCACGTCGGTGAGTAAATAGAGACTAGAGATAAACATTAAGTGATATAATTAGGCATATGCACCAACCCAGTAGTTATGACAAGTTAGAAAGTATATTAGCTCAAATTATTGTGGCTACCGAAACCCGAACATATTTCAAAATCAAGCTTCAAACTTTAAGTATTCCGACTAATTAAATAATTACAGACTTGTGTTCTAAGCTTAAAACCAGAAATTCAGTAATGGTAATGACGACTGTCGGAAATATTTAAATCAAAGAATTGTAGCAGGTGGATCGAATTTCAAACCTAGGGGCGGAAAGCCAAATGGGCTGACCACATAATTCTGGCTTGTTGATTTAAACATTGTTTCTGACCGTTGGGTGTAAAAATGAAAATCTTCATTCATTGACTTCAGTTTTAGTCGAGAGATTAGTAGAGTGTAGTTGGAAAACCAGTCATTGTAGTTAGTCAATATTTTGACAAAGAAATTGATTATAAAGTTGGCCCTGAGTATGTAAAAGACATTATTCGTCAAAATTATGTTTAAAAAAGTCTTAGCGACAGAAATTTAAATAATTTCAGCACCCCGTCCAGAAAACTTGTTTGGGTTTCTTCGAGGTGATAAGTGAAATCGAAATTGGGAAGTTCGAGGAGAATGCGATTAAGAACCAGTAGGCTGCTTCAAAATATTTCCAGACGCTGAAGAAAATTGATCTTAAGATTATCTGGAGAAAATTCTAGAATTTCCCCAAAGTCCAGAGCTTGAATCGCGGGTTACTTTTCCACATGTTATGCAAAGCAATATGCATGAATACTGGTGTTTCATTTCAAAAACTTAACCCAATTCTCTATACATGTTTCTCTCTAACTTTAGTCCGACTCCTAAAATTAGAAATCTGGTATCTTAATTTCACGAGAACAAATGTCGGTGATGTTTTGGTTGTTGTGTTTTAATCGACAGAAAGCGGAATAAAATGCAAGTGAAATGTAAGACCGGTTGTCATCTTGAAGACAGGTTTAAAGTTACTGTCGTTTGAAACTTACCTAAAAGCCTACAAGTTATCAGAAGAACACAAATAACATTATGATCACACAAAGATTTTCAACCACTGCCCTAATATCTACTCCCATTTCCTAACGCTGAAAATCGTCTACTAAATATCAAAGAGCGAATTCAAAGCTTAATAAATATCCAAGCAAGCAAGAATCTTACGTATAATCCAGTTGACAACAAAGCTACCAAATATACAGCAATGACAGAAATATCCCAATGGTCAACTTTCATGCCCATAGCCACGAAGATAGCAAAGCTTTCTGAATTCTCCACACGAGAAATTGAATTACAAGCTTGATGTTGGATCGTTAAAACAAAATTGTAAATTTAACCTCATCATCACAATACTCATGTTCTCAATATGCTTCATGGATATATTTATCAATTCTAATTTTCTTCGACTCCGTCCAAAATTAGTCTATTTAAACGTGCGATTTGCTCGCAAAGTCAACCAAAACGTCAGTCTTCAGTCTGCAGTAAAAGGATACGAGGTCTATCGACCTGTAATAATCCTTGAAGTTTGTAGCACTGCGGAGGTCCAATCTCGTTCTGAATGTATCAACAGAAGGTGTTCCGGTAGAGAATTCCAGTAATTCACTACCCGATGGTAGAAACGAAACTGCAGACGTAAACGATTTAATTTCGGTTTTTGAACTTTTTTCGAGTGTCCTCTCGAATGATCAGTCTCAGACGGAAGTGAAAGATAAGACGTGTTAATAACAAGGTCATCGTTCAGTATACGATAAGCCAATATTAGATCACTCCGTATTTTACGGTAAGATAACGGAAATAAGTTGAGGTGTCTCAACCTGTCTTCATAAGATAGTCCAGATAGACCTTGTACCATCTTAGTACCTCCTCGTTGGACTCGCTCCAGCATATCTGCTTCACACTTGAAACAAGGACTCGGTGTTTGAATTCCATATTCTAAATGTGGTCGCACATAAATCGGGTTTAGTAATCTAATCATTTCATCATCTAAATACTAGAAAGACCTACGAATAGACCATATTACTCTATAGTCGAAAGAAGAAATATATCAGCAATTAAATTGACTTTTGTTTATGGTTTGACTTCACCAAATTACCCTCTCTTTGTAAATCTGTACATCTAAGTGTGGCTGCTCCCCAGGATTCTGCGTACCTTAACCATCGAAAATTATTTTCGGTACTATGTCCCCTTACCTCAAGAGGGATATAGATCTCTTAGAACAATCTCAGTAAAAATTAACATGAAAATAAGTTTTACGCTCGGATAATAGTTAAATACCTTGTATCGAATTCTATAGCTGTGAAGAAATCCCCAAAGTCAATAGCTCTGTAAGTCTTTGACATTTGATGCAGACCGCGGTAGCTTTAATGAGCTCACCTAGCTGAAGGCACTTGGTCGCGTACCGCACCAGATCACGAAAGGTTACGCCGTGTTTCACATCCCCTACAACAGCTAGCCAGTATAGTCACTTCTCGATATATCAAAGATGTCATCGCTTTTGACTTCCAATTCCTCTGAGTTGGTACGTTTCGATTACCAAACATGCCATTGGTTAAGGCATTGTCGAACTCCGAATACTTTTGGCATTTTTAACCACAGTAAAAGTCATAGATTGAAACATGACAACAAATCGCTTATTTGAATGTTACATATTTGGAAATTTTTATTGAAAATAGGGAAATTTACAAACCTGATTACATTACCGTGACAGGTCATTGTAACTCTCAGAATTGCGACATTTTTGGGATTCATTTGAATACTTTAGTGTAATTTTATAAAGAATGTGTTTTCTGCAGTAACCACATATTTCTTCTGTTATTGCATTTGTTTATTAAATTACATTCGCGACAAATAATGCTAAATCCCGAACAGAACCTGAACTTTACATATAAGTCACATTCCAATTACACAGTTTACCAATAGAATGATTCAAATGAACCACTTCATCAAAGTTCATATAATATTAGTACTATTGACAACGCCTTATTCTTTTTCATATCCGATTCTGCTTGCTGAGTTGCCATTGCTGATTGTGAAGCAGCCATATTTCCATAGTCACAAAATCTAGCCTGATGACGATCTAATGGAAAACAATATTTCTCATTCATATATGGCCCATAGGTAGGATTAAGGAACCTCTAAGAAGCTCAGAAAGTGCTGAAGATGTCTCTTCCAATTATTTTTTGGACGAACATTATGGAATCTTTACGTGTAGCTTCCCTATTCGACAAATGTTAATAACCACTGTATGAGGATAAGATTACTCTGGCAATGGCTTTGTTTTTACTAAGAGCTATAAATGCCTGAGAGTTTGTAACGTATTTGACACTACTTGGAATAATATTCATGTACACTTTTTCTATCATCTCATTTGCTACTTGGAGGGTTCTAGTGTTTGAGTGCTCAAGTAGTACGCGGCATATCTAAGCTGTAGTTATAACAAACAACTTATAAAGTTTTGTTGCGGCCAGTATTATGTTGTGAATTGTTGGCGATGTATCGTATTTTGTTTGTCCATTCAGATCAACACGTTTGGTTTTTCGTTGCAGAATTATTTGATCGAATTTAGCTAACAAAATCTTGGTGGTCTGTTGATTTGACTCCGATTTGAAGTAACGGATCAATATGCCATGATCAATAATGTTCCGCCTAATTCCGTATATTACATCCAGGCTAAGCCCGTATATTACATCCAGGCTAAGCCCGTTCATGGAACGGTGGTAATAGAAATCCATTTACAGATCGAGTTGGTTAAATTTATTTCAGACACCCGTTTATTCAGACCGACATTAAGAATGGGGAGCGGGATAGTGAATCAACTCTATTTGATCGAGCGTGGCTCAATGTTTATGGCTAGAAACGAACAAGACGAAGACATGTGATGGACAGGACAAATTATGAGTACATATACTGTAGTGAACGGAACACGAGGGGGGACAATGTAATGTGTTTGACACAAAATTACAGGACTTGTTAATAAAATCTAACAATCATATAGTAATTGCTTAATTCACAAAATACCCATCAGTTGTCTCAAAATGACTCAGAATTCATTGTTCTTGCATTCTCATACAAATTGCATTCTGTTTCCATCCTTTACTTTTCGATCCTCTTGTCACTGCTCTGCTGCCAGACATTCTGTTCACGACCAACGTCATATACTACTTATGTCGATATAGGTAACACACACCACAATACCATCACATAGAAACAGTCAAGGTTGTTAAGTGAATAATTGACAAAGTCAGAATTTAACTCAAGAAGAATAAATTAGTTGATCTGTCAGGAAGCTAGAATAACCCAATTAAAATTCATATAACACCGGACACTACAGAGCTTAACTGCAGAAAGTTGCACATCAATTTTAAAAAATTGTCTGGTTACGAAAACACTTATGAAGTATACGGTCAGCGTTTATAATAAGTAGTGAAAAGACGCATTATATCTCATGCTATAGAATGGAACGTGAGGGGTTAATGCATGATAGGAAAGTGTGTATAATTATGGTTTTGTTCAGCACAAGCGCATTTATGTTTGCCATTACGGAGATAGGCCCAATCCCGAAATTGTAGATTTGTCACGATGTGATTGCCTAATTTACTAAATCTTACATGGAAGTCACATCGCTGACAATACTGACTCGTCCCACCATCCAATCAGCAATATGATGTTCAGCACTTCTGAAAAAAGATTTAAGCTGGAGATAGAATAACATATTTGGT